AATACAGGGTGGGGGAAGTCACTGTACAGTTATAGATTGTATAAATACAGGGTGGGGGAAGTCACTGTACAGTTGTTTCATTCATAACATAGTTTACTCTCTAAATATTACTCTGAAACAATAACTGAATTGGTTTCCATTGTCTTCATAATATTTTCTTTAACAGCGAACCTCTAAATAATGGCAACTATATAATAACAACTATGCTAACGGTATAATACAAACTATATAGTAACTTTTCCCTATCTAGTATATAATATATAGCTGTTTGTGTGTATATGTGTACATTAATATATATATTGGGTTAAAAGATAAGCAGGTTAAAGTATCGGGGATTTAATAAATTGCACATCGAACCGCGTGGTTGGCGCGAATTTTTAAAAGTTCAAGCCTTTTGTAGTCTATTGCAAAACTCTTGCACGCTATGGGAATGGTCGCGGAAACTAGTGTTAGATTCCAATTATTTGTATAAAACCTATGAACCTGCACTTTGTGTTAAAAGTGGATACTTAGGTTTACTCTTTGTTCTAATGTAGGCGCTACACAGTATACTCTAGTGTCCAAACAGTATTAGCGGCTAATTCTAGTAGAGTCAAAGGGAAATTTTTGTAGTTATTGAAACCGTTTTTGATTTATTTAATATTTTGGAACACTTAACAGGGGACCGTTTAGGCAAAGTTTCTTTCTTACACAACGGTTACAACCAGATGGTGGCACAAGCGGCGGCAGCGGCAGCAGCGGCGGCGGCGGCAACTGGGACTTCCTCTCACATCAGCCCTTTGCCTTTTATGGCATTGAACCACCAGGTGTCTCACCATAGCATGATTTCAACTAGTGCACCTAGTCATACCCAAACTGATCGAATTGATGGCACTGGCGTCGGCGAGAGATCCGGAAAAATATCCGACGACTACGTCACAAACAGGTTGGTGTATTACCTATTCATTAATATTATTATTATTATTTTGCGATAAACACGTTATGGCATTAAAATAGTATACATAAGATTCAGATTACCATAGAGCCCAACTACAACATGCAAATGAAGTTGTTTTAATTCCCTAAAATATCCTCGAGTCTATTAGGCGAAACTAGACTTCATTAAAACCGTAATAAATATTCCCTTAATGAAATACCACGCTACTAAAAAACAAACAGATATCAAACTTATTACACAACTCTCGAGCTGTGCTGCACACACACACCGACAGACGAACCAAGTCCATTATTCTTACTTAGGGCTACTGATAAAAAGAATTAATTCCATCCTTTTGATAGAGTATAAATAGTTGCAGTTATTACAGAGACCGAGAGGACTAAGTCTTTACTTCTGATATAGCCACGATAACAAGTGCTTAAGTCTCTCTTCTTTTTATTGTCTTTTATCTTGGACTCAAGCAATAATCTACTTATTCAAGAACATACATGTTAATCCTTCGAAAAGTTAAGGTTCAGGTTAAGACTCGGGAAATGGTTGTGGTCAAGCTCTTCAGAAACAGAATGCGTGTTAACACACGGCTGGTTTCTAAATCAACTGTTTCGAACCATTTCTGTGAGATCACGTATACTTCTGCTATTGTATTTTGGTGGCTCCGAATATTAAAAGAGCACTGCATCGCGTTTTCGTAGCGTCAAAATTTAAGTTTTTTTTTTCAGTTTAAATGTTTACCTGTGCGCTGAAGGTTATAAACCAGTGTAAAAGTCACGACCATTGTGTAGTTTTATGCTTAACAACAAACAAACAAACAAACTCAAGAATTGGGTGTGGGTATATTTTATTGTTCTACCATGTTCCTTGTAACGTATCCTTTGAAGTATCGATACAACAACAGTAGACATTCTCCCTTGAGAAACATTGGGTATTAATAAGATGTTTCTTCTGTTTTGTTATAATCTTTAGTAGTCTTAGCCACATATATTAAATACAGTATCAGTGAGGATAGTTGATCACATAATGAGAAGATAACAGGTAGTTTATATTCCAGAACGGTACCTTTCCTTTAAGTAAAATAGAATCTATAGATTATAGTATTTGGACACTGTGTATTTTGTCTTTAAGTTTACTTTCGGGGTATTCATAGTCTATAATCTAAACCTAAGATAATGTAATGATTTATTAGTAATAATTAGTTTTTAAGTAGCACAGTAGGTAAGCTTTCAAAATCAGCCGCGTGAAGGTTCACTATATATACGCCTTCCTCCACTATATTGTAGTGCTCTAATAACAGATATTCTGGTAGGAAAAGTTTAGGCAAAGTTTAGAGGGCGGATTAGGTTTTCCAGAAGAACTGAAGATTTGTGCAGTTTTGAAATTTTTTGATTCCTTAGTTGAAACTTATGCTGAATTAGAAGAAATTATTTGGCTGCGTTGCAAGGTTTGTAGATTTCTGTGATCTATGTAACGCAACTCCTTCATAGGAAACGTGCACCTACTTCTTGGATTTATAATAAAAATATATATATTCTCGTTACGTGTACTTTATACGTTTTTTTTTATACCTTAACTTGATTTTTTTTCTGCGATATATAATCAGTATTAGGCCCAGGTTTGTGGCGCGATGCTCTCAAAATGCTTCGAACTTTCAGCTGTGGGTGCGTTATAAAAGGAACAGCCAATCCCTGTATTTGGTTCATCGAGCTCGAAAAAGCCCTTATGTGGCGGGTGCTCCTGACTGGCTGCCTTTCATCTGATCAATAGTTTAAAATTAAGTACAGATGTATCTGAACCCTAGGGGGACTTTAGTATGGCCATTTAGCCCATTTATCACATAATTTGCCAGGTTGAAAATACCAATTAAATTATTTTTGTGAAAATATTATATTATTAATATATATATAATAACAATCAATCAAATAATTATTAATTATGTTATGCAGGTATTAGGTCTATTTATTATGTTGAAATTGATAGTATTTTACTGTATTAAAACAGTTTTTAATTATTTTATCGTCACTTTTCGGCGTATTGAGCAATAATACTTCAAGGTTGACTGCTATCGTATATTTTAGTTATCCACCACTATACTTCCAACTTATCATGCAATGTATTACCATGTTTCTCAAATCCAGGGGCCTTACAGTTATGGAGGATGGAATATACCAACTTCAGATAATAAGTATTTGTCACCGTAATGGTTTGCCCTTAATACCCTATTTTATTCCATATCTGTTATATTCCTACTTTATTTTCAGTAACTATCTTCCCAAAATTGGCTCTAGACAGTGGGTGGTAGTTTAGTTTGAGGACACTCTCATGTTAAATTTGTTAATCAAGGTTAAATGTGATAGATGACGCATGCCTGTCGCTAGAAAGGGCTTTAGGTTTGAAGATACTTCGCCCATCATGGCACGAGTTCCTCTTCCAGCTCTTTAGCTTATATCCTGGTTTTATTCATTTTTATTAGTTCTGCGACTATCCTTCTTCTGTTTCTTCTTCGTTTTTTAGGGGGGGGGGATTTTGTTTTTGGTAGTCGTAAATCCACAAGTGTATGTGTAATAGACGATTAAGTTAAAATATATCGTGTTTTTTGTTGTTTTTTAGAAACTAAATAAAAATATATAAAATCTCTGTTTCACTCGCAACCACAGACTGTACGGGCCTTCCGTTAAGACGCCTTGCATATGCAAAATAATAATAAAAAATATTCTGAAAATTTCCTTTTAATACCCAGCATTTTAGTGCAAAGAATCACCCTGTAAGTTTACAAAAGTGATTGCATTGTTGGTTTACGAGAGAGACGCTGTTCGAGGCGATCGTGTCACATTTTTCCTAGTGCATGAGTTAATTTAAACCGACAGAATGATGAATTACAGCTAGAATACGATTGACAAAAAAAAACGAGGAATTTTATTCATAGAACACATTAATCATCCCACTGACACTAGCAGCGATCGCAGCGCCTCATTCCGTGGATTAGAAACTTAAGTGAAAACGCTGCATTAGAGCAGACTTATTCGATAAGTCACGTGACTTACAAATATACTGACTGAGAATTTTGATAGCTAAACTTATACACAGTTTGCATATTTTAAAACGCTCTGGCAGAGTTTGTTGTTGTCCTTATTTGAGTTTATTGGTTGAAATCGTATTGTCATCTGAGTTTATTGGTTGAAATCGTATTGTCATCTGAGTTTATTGGTTGAAATCGTATTGTCATCTATATTTCTTTCGATGATTGTTTTTCTTTACTGAAGGAGGTGTAATGCATGTCAGCATTTCTAAGTAACAGGTAACCCTAAATCGTATAATACACCTTAATTACAGGTTGTTGAACTGTACAAACGAAAAAAAAATACACATACACTCACACATATATGTGTATATATATATTAACAAACAAATACTGTATATAATATATATATGCCTGCCAGTGGCACAGCGGTATGTCTGCGGACTTACAACGCTAGAAACCGGGTTTCGATACCCATGGTGGGCAGAGCACAGATAGCCATCGTGTAGCTTTGTGCTTAATTCCAAAACAATCAAACAATGATATATATATATATATATAGAGAGAGATAAATACAGAAACTGCTGGCATATAACATCAAAGCTGTTAAACCAACCGTAACAAAAATTTTCTTTAAAACTATTTGAGGAAAGAAATCGAGAAACTGCGGAATTATTGTTTAAGGATATTATGTGTTTTGTAATTAATGTAACTGGGACGTTATATGTTTATTAGTTATGTGTGCTATATGTTTGCTTGAGAGAAATCTGTATGTAGTTTGACGTTTGTAACTCCATACGTTAGTTGTCCTATTTAAAACTCTTGTTCACGTGTCCACATGTTTATATCTCTGTAAGTACGTTATGCCTTCTTTTCAGTTATGCCTTCTTCTATATATTTATGTGTATGTTACTCTTATATTATTTAATTTGATCTCTAGAATAAGAAGAAAGAGTTACGTGCGAAACACAAACGAATGGTTCAGTAAAACGTGTTAGGAATTATTCCTTTGGGAGCGGAACGGTGACATATTAATACGCAACATTTCTCGTTCACTGTTATCTATATCTAGAATCCGAGATGATCCACCCCAGAGCGGAGAGCTTCGAGAACGTCTCTACGGACAAGAAAGTTACAAATCGACAAATACCATCACCCAGAGTGGTAAGTATAGACTTTAAGTAACAAGATCTGTCGTTTACTTTCTTTGATTTTTATGCTTTTTAAATGTGTAATTCCAGTGCACAGAGTTCTTAAATACGATCCTCTGAATACCGAGTTTCTCATCAATACCCTGCTATACAAGGATATGGTTTACACTTTGGAGCTAACATTCTAAATACGATCCTCTAGATACCGAGTTCTTAATCAATACCCTGCTGTACAAGGATATGGTTTACACTTTGGAGCTAACATTCTAAATACGATCTTCTAGATACCGAGTTTCTCGTCAATACCCTGCTGTACAAGGATATGGTGTACTCTTTGGAGCTAATATTTTAAGCACGCTCCTTTAAATGCTGTGTTTTCTCCTGATATCCTGCCTACAAGGATATGGTTTACACTTTGGAGCTAACATTCTAAATACGATCATCTAGATACCGAGTTTCTCGTCAATACCCTGCTGTACAAGGATATGGTTTACTCTTTGGAGCTAATATTTTAAGCACGCTCCTTTAAATGCTGTGTTTTCTCCTGATATCCTGCCTACAAGGATAAGGCTAAGACTTTGGAACTAAAATTCTAAATACCGAACTTCTCGTTAATATCCTGCTATAAAATGACAGGATTTACACTCTGGAGCCAACATTCTAAATACGCTCCTTTAGATACTGCGTTTCTCCTGATTTCTTGTTTTATAAGGATAAGGTTTAAACTTTGGCACACAATTACATGAAATTTTGTTCTTTTGTAATTTGCTTGGTGTAAAAGTAAAACAGTTTCTAGTGTGTGTGTGTTTTGTTGTTGTTTTTTTTCTGACGCAGAATATCTCCTTTTATACTGGGAATAGGGTTTATAATAATAATAATGTGTTTAAGAATACTTAATTGAAAAATCACAGTTTCATTTTAAAAGTATACCAATACTACTGTACAAACTTTTACCTAATTATTTTTTACAGTAGTTCCTAAATTAAGGTCCGCTAAAAGGTTTCAGGAGAGAGTCACCACATCAACAAATATTCTCTTTAAAACTTCCCTTATTTATATCTATAAATATGACTACACAAAGCTGTGTATTCTTCAGATTTGTTCTTCAAAATTCAATTTCACTGAACGTAAGATATCTCAGAGTGGCTATTATTTGAAATTTCTATTAAATCATTAAGTAAGGTCCTCAGAAAGGTGGGTATGTTTTCGGAGTGACAACGCTGAAATCAGAGGTTCAATTCCCCCGAGGTGGAAAGAGCGGATATAGACGATCGTGTAGCTTTGCACTAAAAAAACACCCCCCCCCCCCCATTGTAATATGTTGTATTCTTTGCTACTTGTGATTGACAAGATAAACTATCTTGTATATATTTACTTTAACTGGTCCCCCTGTAGGTCTACGATAAGTTTACGAACTAAACGATAAAATTCAGAATTCAATTCCCTTTTGTGGAGCTTCCCAGTGGCACAGCGGTAAACCTGCGGACTTACAACGTTAGACACCGGGTTTCGATACCCGTGGTGGGCAGAGTACAGATAGCCCTTTGTGTAGCTTTGTGCCTAACTACAAACAAACAAACAACCTTTTGTCGACAGATAGTCTGTTGTGTAGTTTTGTTCTTAAACAAACAAATGTACTGTAACTAAACTGTGTAGAATTCTATTTTATATATGCTTGCCAGATTAAATAAGGAACATAGAAACCAATATTTATTATAGATACACAGTTTAGTCGATCATGTTCCATTTAATATTCATAAAGCGATTCCACTGATAGTTAATGGTATTTTGTTAAAG